TTTTATTTTTGGCAAGTCCACGCATTCTTTTGCCAAAGCAGGGTGTTCTGGGGCCACCTCAGGGGCAACACCACCAGTAGGTCCGGGTGGACCCCAGGCTCAGAATTGCTGCTGGACCACCTCCAGGATGATACTGCACCATCATCCGCACAGGAAGGAAAAAACAGTGGTTTTAATTCTTAGCCTCAGAGTATTTCAGATCCCTTCTTAAGCCATTATCTGTAGTCCCCAAAGCTTTAAATGTCAGTGTATTGCATTAGAAACTATAGAAAGCTCTCCTTTCTTGGTCCTGGATCTGAGCCCCTCCTGCCACCCCCTTACCTCCAGCCCCCCTCTGTTTCCATAATAAGAGCAAGTTTGTCCAATGTCTCAGAAATCAGAAGGGAGGTTTTTTGGGGGTTGGGGAGAACACAACGATGGAGGGATTTGGGATCCATTCTCCCACTCGCTTCCCTCCTTTCTCACCAAGGTTTGAGGTCAGTGAAGCCAGGACAAGCCATCCCTTCCCTCCTCACCACCAGTGTTCACTAATCGGACCAGGGGTGACCCTGGACACGTGTCTTCACAGTGCAGAGGCATAGCAGCCACGGAAATTGCTGGCAGGAGCTGGGAAACAGGGGCAGAGCCTGGGGGATATTCAGGAGGGGAAAAGACACGACCATCCCACAAGGATACACCAAAGGGGGGCAGAGGGGAACAAATACCCGTTCTGCTCTGACACTCTCCCCCCACCCCAACTCATACATTACCTGGAGGCCAGAAGGTCCCCTCATTTACCCGCCAGAGACATGAAGAGCAGGCTAGCCTGAGCTGCACGACAGCAAACACCTCAGCAGGACAAAGGGATCAGAGAAAGCAACAGCGAGAGCAAACTTGAGCGTGTCGTCCTTCATACCAACCACACAGGCACAAAACCACCCCAGCTTTTCTGTCTGTCACTTGGGTACAGCATTACCGCCAGTCCTCTGGAGGGGCAAAGACAGCCAACCTGTCCTGTTCCCTCTGCTTTAGCAAGCTCACCTGCTGTGGGTCCACCAAAGCCCACATCCTTCCCTTCACTTGGGGCGAAGGAGGAAGATGAGTTCCCCACCCCAAAGCCATGCATGGGCACACAATCTGTTTTTTAGGTGGAAAGCACAGAGAAAGGCAAGAACAGAGATGGGCAGAGAGAAAGAAGTGCAGGGCTTGGGGATGCCACAAACTGCTTCACCTACTATCTGGCCCTCCTTTGCACCAATTAATTTGAAGGCGGAAAGGTTTGGGGCAAGAAAAAGCACGGAGCTGAAGAGGGCTGCGGGGCAAGTCTGGTGATGCTTTCCTGCCCTCCACCAGACGGCTTCGCTCCCAGAGAGGCAGCAGGCACGTGGCTTCGCTGCTCATGGCTGCAACAACCAACAGACATCGGGCTCTGGTGGTCTGATCCCAGTTCCAGCCCAGGGGCAGGACGGGGTTTTTTAGTCCTTCCCTTCTCAAACCTCAGCACCTGGTTCAGACAAGATCAAGGAGCCTCAACGTTCACCTCAAAGAGTTCATCATTGGGAAATGAGGATCTGATACCAACCTGCCTCTTCCTTTGCCTCTCTTACCATCCCACACACCCACATGCTTTTGGGTTCCCTCTTGTGGAGGTTGTCCGGGAGGGTGGCTGTCCCTGCTGCACGCTGGCCGTGGAGGTCCCGGCACAGCAGTACAGGCAAAGCTGGACAGAGGGCAAGCCACCACCATGGGAAATCACTGGGCAAAAGTCAGCTTGCTAGTCCCTGTCCCCTCCAGGGACAAGAAGGAAGATTTTTAATGAGAAGGACTCCAGCTCCCTAAGGATAATAAACACAGGGTTAGCCAGACAAATTAGACAGAAACATTGACTGGTTTGGCCTTAAATCATGTTTAAACCATTCTTGAGGAAGAGGAAAAAAAAAAAAAAAAATTATTTCATCTGTAAGGTCCCTTCCTCCCACCACAACAGAAGTTTGTTTTAAATTTAATTTCCTAAGAATAAGGAAGTGAGTAAGTCCAGGAGGAGGACAGGGCTAGAGTCCTGCAGAAGAGCCCCACCACTGCTCTTCCAGCAGGGCCTTCTCCTCCTGCCCAAGGGGGCAAAAGGGAGAGGCAATTCAGAGGGAGAGGCAGAGAATGATGGAGCAACTAACGGAGGAGAGGGGACAGAAGGCAACAGGCTGTACTTCAGGAGTAGGAGAGCCAGATACTGCAGCTGTAGGCTCATCTGAAACTCCCAAGAGACACGGGCCATACCTCAGCGATGAAAACGTGACTTGCAGTGCACTAAAAATCCCCAAGGATGCCCATGCACGGGAAGGGCTGTTATCAGCAGAGAGGCTGCTCCCGCTGTAGAAGATAATGAGGTGCAGCCCCAGCATGCATGCACTTTATCTCCTGCTTCACAGGGCTCTGGTGCTGCCAAAGCACCCATGCAAAGACTGACTTCTTTCTCTCCTGTCTTCAGCAAGGCCTGGCACTGGGCTTGTGGTGTTGTCACTGAGATAAGGCAAAGCCAAAGGTCTGAGAGTGGATCTCAGGCTCCCTTCCAAGAGTAAAAATGAAAAATAGCTTCTTCCTTCCATACTTTTCTGCTACTGAATCCCATGAGCTAACACACCTGCTCTCCTCTGGCTGCCCCTGGGGAAAGCATGTTCCCCTCGTGCTACAGCCTCAGTGCTACTGCTCTCATCTTGCTCAATGCAGGCTTCTCCTTTCTCAGCCGGGTCCCCATTTCTCTATAATCTCTCTTTGCCCAAGACCTCCACGAAGCCGCTTGGCCCAGGGACCCCGTGACTGTGACAAGACTCCCTCCTCCTGCATCAACAAGTCTGGAC